TATATATATATATATAATCTTAAACCTCAATGTTACATTATTATAGCAAAGATCTAAAAAGTAAATGAAACAGTAAACTTCCCTTTTTCATCATATTCATTCTCTATATCATATATATATATATAAGCATATTAAATTATATTTTATTTATATAATTAATGTTTTACTGATTGAATATTTGATTCGCTGGCCAAGTATCTTTACTTTATGACATCATTCACCGATCCAAACTTCAAAAACATTGATCCTGGAGTAATAATTTTAATAACTAACATAAGTCCAAGTCTTGAGTTGAAGAAAATTTGATTGGTAGCTAAAGGCAGGTCACACTTGTAATTCTTTGGTCTCTCCTCACTCATGTAGAGCAGAAAGCTACTATAAATGGTCCCCAACTCCAACCACTATCTCACATTCCCACTTCAAACCCAACCCAAATATTCAGGGAGAGAAAATATAAAAATAAAAATAAAAAATAAAATGGGTTCAGTATCCGAAACCGTGTGCGTTACAGGAGCTGCTGGTTTCATCGGTTCATGGCTTGTCATGAGACTCCTCGAGCGTGGCTACACCGTTCGAGCCACCGTCCGCGACCCAGGTTCCAATATTTATATTTTTCATTTCATTATAAAAAATTAACAGTTTAGACTATAGTAAATTAATTTATATGTATGTGTACCCTGCATGCAGCTAACATGAAGAAGGTGAAGCATTTGCTCGATCTGCCACAAGCAAAGACACACCTATCTCTATGGAAGGCTGATCTTGCTCATGAGGGAAGCTTCGATGCAGCCATTAAAGGCTGCACTGGAGTTTTCCACGTCGCCACACCAATGGATTTTGAGTCCAAGGACCCTGAGGTACCAATTCTCAACCATTCAAATGAACTATATATATATTGAGATTGATCTAAGGTTAAGATAAATACAAAATTATTTAAGTTGAATCTTTATTTATGTTATTGTAATTCTTTTACCAATAAAAAGAATAAAACTATCACTTTTTATTTGTCAGAATAATAATAATAATAATAATAAATTTTAATTTAAGATTATATATATATATATATATATATATTACTTTAATTTTTTCCTTTCACCGACTTTAGTAGTGTGGAATGAATCTGAATCGCTTATACATGAGATTCTATTTTGATCCTTAAAATCATGTTATAAAGAGAAAATCGATCGATGCATAACCAAATTAATTTTATCTATTTATGTTAATCTTCGTCCAAAAGTAAATGAATTGTTACCATACATGCACTTAATAGATATAAAAACTAAAATAAGAAGAAAAGGGAAATTTTTTCCTAGTCACTATAACTACAAAAAAAAATTAATGAATAATTTAGTTCTTAAAATTATAAAATATTATTTAATCTCTGGAATTATTAAATCATTTTAGTTTTTAAAGTTACACACAGCCAATTATTATAACAATAAAGAGTAAAATGACAAGTATTTGAGATTCCTATAAATTAAAACAATATCTTTTAAAATCCGGAGGACCAGAGTAACTGTGGTTATTAATTTTTTTAGATTTATTTGATGTACTAGAATTTTCGTTTTCCATTAGCATGCCCCACTTTAACATCTATCGACTACTTGTCATGTGTTGTGAAAAGTGACCATTAGCATGCCCCACTTTAACATCTATCGACTACTTGTCATGTGTTGTGAAAAGTGACCATTAGCATGCCCCACTTTAACATCTATCGACTACTTGTCATGTGTTGTGAAAAGTGACCATTAGCATGCCCCACTTTAACATCTATCGACTACTTGTCCTTGATGTGTTGTGAAAAGTGATGTTTGTTTTAAGTGATATACAATATCCTAAACCTAATCTTCACATTTATAAAAATTTACTTCGCTCATAATACCTTGACCATTAGAGAAACATATTTATTTGTATCTGATTCTGACATAATGGGAAGTGCAGAACGAAGTGATAAAGCCTACAATAAACGGAGTACTAGACATCATGAAAGCGTGCTTGAAGGCAAAAAGTGTGCGAAGGTTAGTATTCACGTCTTCAGCTGGAAGCCTCAACGTTGTTGAGCACCCAAAGCCATTGTATGACGAGACTTGTTGGAGTGACGTTGAGTTTTGCAAGAGAGCTAAGATGACTGGTTGGGTTAGTAATTTATCTATTCAATAGTTTAATTATCACCAATGTTAATACAAGACCGTACCAAGGTTCGAACTCGACCTTGGTTTAGCATAAAGTATCTTATGGTGAAATGATGCAGAGTTAAGAAGATATGAATGGGAAAGAATGAGTTATTTTATTGATGTTATGTGTGCCTCGTTAAAAACCCTCTTAGCCAAAACCCATTTTTCTATTTTTTGGGACAAAAGACTAAGGTGGGAAAAGAGTGCATAGCTCATTCATGCAAATTTAACTGAAATAAAACTTGAGATGTGTGGCATTCCCAGTTCGCGGGATGGGTTTTCCGCTGAGTTCTTCCAGTCGGTATGCCCCGTTCTCAAAGTCTTCTACAACTCGAAATGGGCCACTCCAAGTGGGTGCAAGCTTGCCGTCTGATGTGTCTCTCCGTGCTTCGCCTAATAGTCGCCATACCAGGTCACCAACTCGGAAAGAGCGAGGTCGTACTCGCGTATTGTATCTTCTAGAAGCTCGGAGTTTGCAGGCTTCTTCATGAATCCGAGCTTCGTCTTTGAGCTCGTCAATCAAGTCAAGGTCAGCTGCTATTTCTTGAGAGTTTTGCTCGCTGTTAAAGACTTGACGTCGGTGAGATGTCTCCCCGACTTCCACTGGGATCATGGCGTCAGTTCCATAAGTCAGCCTGTAAGGCGTTTCCTATGTTGTTGACTAGGGGGTGCAATGGTATTCCCAGAGGATGCTGGGAAGTTCCTCAGCCCATTGTCCCTTGGCGTTCCCTAGTCGCTTCTTGAGCTCTCGGAGTACCACTTTTTTTGCAGCTTCGGCTTGGCCATTAGTTTGCGGGTGTTCCACCGAGGTCGGGAGGTACTTAATTCCAAGTTCCCGAAGGAAGTCTTCGAAGCTTTGCGTGATGAATTATCGGCTGTTATCGGTGACAAGGGAATGTGGAATTCTGAACCTGCATATGATGCTCTTCCAGGTGAACTTCCGTATATTCTCAGTGGTGATCTTGGCGAGTGGGCACGCTTCGATCCACTTGATGAAGTAGTAGATTGCCACCAAGAGGAATTTGAGTTGACCTTTTGCGGGGGGGGGGGGACGGTCCTAGGATGTCCATTCCCCCCCGCGCGAAAGCCCACG